TTATTCAATTGTATTACTGCATTTAAGTTGATGATATTAAATTTATAGGAAGTATTATTATGTGCTAGTGGTGTATGAGTCATGATAAGAAGTAACAGGTATCACTGTTACTAAAAGGAACTATTGATAATTAGTACTTGATAGAGTCATACGCAATTCTCTATAATAAATTTAAAAAAAAATGACTACATATAATTGTACGGCTGTAACACCAGCGGTCACCCATCCACCTACTAACCACACTTATCGCTGCTTAACTTTGGTGATTTCCGTGCGCCTTGAAGTTTCCGCCTGCTGTGCTGTTGACAACTTATGTGACAACAATTCTATGAAGTACATAACGTATCGAATAAGTTTATCATAAATATAATATAAAAATTCATTTTACAATATATTTTGATAGTCATAATATAGGATTTTGGGAGACAGGTGCAAGTATAACTGACAAGACGATGCGTACAGTAGCTTGAGTTTATTATGACTAACTTCCTAAGTACAGCAAGCTAATGACTCGACTTAAACAAATGGGTATAAGTAATGCATGTAGTATGTGTGTGTGTGTGTGTGTGTGTACAATAGAAACTATATGAGTCATTGATTCCAATACTTCCCCTCAATGACGTTACTCTTGATGTTCTTGATCAGTTAATCCGATCATCTTTGCTAGGGTTGCAGTCTTGAGTGGTCCTAGTGGTTTTGTCAGGATGTCAGCCTGATTTGCGTCTGTTGGGCAGTAAGTTGCTTTTATAATACCCTTCCCCTCCAAGTCTCGGGTATAAAAGTACTGCGTGTCGATATGTTTGCTGCGGAGATTTGGTCCAGGTGCGTGGATGTTATTAAGACATCCTTGATTATCCTCGAAGATTATAGTGGCTGATTTTTGCGGATGGTCTAGGAATTCCAGCAGCTTCCGGATGAGTACGCATTCCCTTGATGCTTCTGATAATGTGACTATTTCAGCCTCTGTTGACGAGACTGATATGCACGTTTGCTTCTTGCTTGCCCAGCTTATCGTTCCATTGAACAACTTGAACAGATATCCCGTGTTTGACTTTCTTGAAGCTCGGTCCTCTGCCCAGTTGGCATCAGCATAGCCAAAAAGTTCTTGGACGTTGCTGGAATTGGAGCTGAGACGGAGTTTGTAGTTCTTGGTGGCCTTCAGATATCTACATATCCTCTGGAGCTCATTCCAATCAATTTTCCGTGTGCCTTTGATATGTTGTGCTAATATTGCCACTGGCGCACTAATATCAGGTCTTGAGTTTATGGCGATGTACAATAGTTTTCCAATTAATTTACTATAGTAGTCGATTTTTATTTCGGGTGAATCGACACGATTTTTCTCATAATTAGTGTCCATGGGGTGATTAGAAAATTTTGCATGCTCGAGTCTTGATTGGATTAATACCTTTTTAATATAATTTTGTTGACTTATAAGATAATCGCCGGCTTGGTTTCTAGTGACCTCTACTCCAAGATAGCATTGAATGTCACCGAGGTCTGTAATAGTAAATTCCTGAGCAAGTGCTTTAATTACTTCATTTATTCTTGATAATTTGCTGCAGGCGATCATGATGTCATCAACATGTACAACTAAGTATGAGCGAGTGTTGTTTCCATGTTTATATAAACAAGGATCGCTTTCGCATCGTTCAAAGCCGTAATTAGTGAGAGTTTCATGTAGTTTATCATTCCAAGACTTTGCCGCTTGTTTGAGACCATAAATACTTTTATTTAGCCGGCATCCAAATTCTTCTTGTCCTTTCTTTTCATGTCCAGGGGGCTGTTTCATGTAAATTGTTTCTTTAAGCTTTCCATTAAGAAAGGCTGTTTTTACGTCCCAATGCTTCACATGGAGATTTTCTTTACCAGCTATAGATAACAAAGCTCTTACTGTTGTGGTTTTGACAACTGGTGCGAAAACCTCTTCATAGTCCACTCCAAATTTCTGGGAAAATCCTTGGGCGACTAGTCTGGCCTTGAATTTATCTGGGGCATTTCCTGGTGTTCTTTTGATATTAAAGACCCATTTGCACCCAATGGCTGTCTTGTTCCTTGGGATTGGCTCAAGATCCCAGGTTTCATTTTGTTCTAGCGACTCGAGCTCTTCCGCCATGGCCTTGCTCCATTGTTCGGCGTAAGGCCCATTTAGAGCTTGTTGAATTGTCCGTGGTTCTTCATCGTCGTTCAGCTCATTCGGTTGGTAGTCCTGCTCTATTTCTTCGTCATGATTATTCGAATTATTTGGTGGTTCATTTGGTACCTCTGTGATCCTCTCTATCAAAGGTACATCATCTGCATCCTCAGATGGCCTTGGAGAGTTTGTTGGGGCTTCCCCTGATCCACGCGGTTCATCTCCGGATGACTTTGTTAACAATTCATTGGAAGATTCCGAGGGAATATATATAATTTCTTCGGGTTTTCCAGTCGATGGGATTTTTTTCTTCCAGGTAAAAATCTGTCTTGGCTGTGTCTTCACCATGAACAGGAGAATCTTCGATGAATTTTACGTCTCTGCTAATGATAATTTTTCCTGAGGATTTTTCAAGCAGTCTGTATCCTTTCGAGTCCTGTACATAACCTAGCAGTAAACATTCTGTTGTTTTTGTGTTCAACTTATTGCGTTTTTGTTTAGGAATATGGGCATAGGCTTTGCACCCAAATTCTTTCAGATGTTTGAAATCGGGTTTTCTGTTGAGCAAAAGTTCGTATGCCGTTAAGGTTCTTTCTCGGGTTGGTAAACGGTTCTGCAAATATACTGCGGTTAATGCAGCTTCACCCCAGTATTTATTGGGTAATTCTGTGTCTATTAACATCGTCCTGATTGCCTCGACTAAATATCGGTTTCGACGTTCCGCAACTCCATTTTGCTCCGGAGTGTACGGTGTGGTATGTTGGAATTTTATTCCATGATGTTTCAGGTGTTCATTCAACTCCTGGTTAACATATTCTCCTCCTAAATCAGACCTGAAGGCTTTGGGTTTTGTCTTGAATTGAGTGATACAAAACTGGATGAAGTTTTTGATCACTTCCGTAACTTGAGACTTTTTGCGTAACAGGAAAATGTACGTGTAGCGGCTATAATCGTCGATGAGGGTTATGATATATTTGCGTCCTCCAGGTGTTTCTGTCGGCATTGGTCCACATAGATCAGTATGTATCAGGTCCAGTGGTCGGTGCGTTGTACTCGATGCTTTCTGTGGAAAAGGATTGCGAGTGATTTTCCCTTTAATACAACATTCGCATACCTGTTTTATTGGACAGTCGTTTATCTTTATTCCCGTGACTAAATTATTACTAGAGAGATGCCTAATTACCTTGGGGTCGCGATGTCCAAATCTTGCATGCCAGTGGTGGATGCAATCCTCGGGATGGCGTCACCAACATCTATTTCCTCGTTGGTTTTGGTGAATATTGCCATCTGATTATTCATAATTTTTAAATGGAAGCCAAGTTTATCCAATGTGCCTATGGAGATGAGGTTACAGTCGAAGTTAGGGACATATAACACGTTAGTGAGGTTGAGTAGAGTAGTTTTTCCTTGTCTAGTTAAACATTCGATCCTTCCTTGTCCTATGCCGTATGCTTTGCATGCTTGGCCGTTTGCTACAAGTACTGACGATGTATAATTTGTGTCAATGGTATCAAAAAAACTAGCATTATTAGTCATATGACTACTGGCAGCTGAGTCGAGAAACCAATTAGTGTTGCATGTGTTTGAGGTAACAATGTATGCTTGGTGTGGCGTCATTTCATGGAAAATATCATCATTATCATTTTCATCATCACTTGAAAGGTTTTCGATGACAGCTCTGGCATGTGCTTTCCTATGTCTTTGTTTCTTTTTCCAAGAAATATACTTTGGACATTCTGATTTCATATGACCGATTTCATGACAAAAATAACACTCGACGTAAGCTTTACTTACATTTGCTTTCATTGCTGAGTCATAATCCTCGCTTTGTCCTAAGCTTTTTCGCCTTTTAAATTCACTAATTAAGGTTGCTTTGACGATATCGATGGTGAGCTCATCTTCTGGCCTTGAAGCGAGAACTGATATCAATATAAGGTATGAGGTCGGCATGCTTCTAAGGATGATCCACGGACCAAATTCAATTGCGCTTCTGTTACCTAGGGCCGTGAGATTATCGATGAGTTCCTGGATTTTGGCAACATGTTTCTTCATGTCTTCGTCATCCTGGTACTTTAATTGCAATAATTCGACTATTAATGAGAATTTGTTTAGTCCACTAGCCTTTTCATGGTACTCCTTTAGAGCATCCCAGGCTTCTTTTGCAGTGGTTTTGTTGCGTATGAGAGATATTTGCGTGTCCTCGATTAACAGACATATCGTGACAAGTGCTTTGTCGTCGCGCTGATCCCACGTGTCTTGCGCGTCCTCACCCGTTGTAGGCCTTGGGCTTGCAATCGCCTTCCATGTACCTTCACGTTTCAGAAGTTTTTCTATTTTAAATTTCCATACTTGGTAATTATTGTTATTTAATTTGGCAATGCCAAAAGCAGTGTTTGTTTCTGCCATTCTTAAATTTAAACACTAATGAAATCGATCACTACACGACGCTTCAACTCTTAAACTTTACTTTTTCTTGAACTTTACTTTGCTTTAGACTTCATTTTTTCCTTAAATTTTTACTTTTCTTTACACTTTACTTTTCCTTAAACTTTACTTTAGACTTTACTTTTCCTTAAACTTCTTTACTTTAGCATCAGCTCCTGGGCCCATAACCTATAGGATTTTGGGAGACAGGTGCAAGTATAACTGACAAGACGATGCGTACAGTAGCTTGAATTTATTATGACTAACTTCCTAAGTACAGGAAGCTAATGACTCGACTTAAACAAATGGGTATAAGTAATGCAATTAGTGTGTGTGTGTGTGTGTTTGCAATAGAAACTATATGAGTCATTGATTCCAATAGTATCTCTACTTTTTCACAAACTAGAAGCAAAAAAACCTCAATTTTATCAAAAAATCGAGTTTAGTGACCCGTATTACCTCGCGCGTATAAGTTACGACTTTGCCGTAAAGGACTTTTTTGTAGAACGTTCAATTCTGAACAAAACCTATTGATCGTCGAAATGATGCCATGAAATGCCTCTGAACTGCAGAATTTTAAAGAAAAAAAAATCAAACTTCCTGTGTATATTAAATGGAAAATCTTCACATGTTCCGGTCGAGTACTTAATTTTAATATTAAGGGCTCAAACTTTCAGGGAATTTTTTTGGGGGTATTTCCAAGAAAATTTCGGGATAGGAGCGAGAAAAAAAAATAGTCGCAAAAAAAAAGCACCCTAATATATATATATATATATATATATATATATATATATATATA